AAATGAAAAGATCACAATACTTGATTCTCAAAACATACTGACCAGGGCTGGGGAGATAGCTCCGCAGCATAAATGCCTCTTGGCAAGCACAAAGTCCCAAGTTCAATCCCTGGTACTGCAAAACAAACAAACCAAAAAGCATACTGACCAGTCAGAGAGCCCACTGCAAGTGCACCATTGCCTTCCTCAATGGGGTACCACTCACCATGAGGGTTCTCTAGGAACTTGGGGAGGGGGTCTTATCTTGGTGGTTCTCTATAAAAGAAAATATTTAAGCTTCTCCTCTGCCTGGGGAAACGACCAAGTTTTAAAATAGGTTCTCACTAATAAAAAAGAAATAAAAGAACTGATGGGGAATCTAGGCTCTTGGGTGGAAGATTCAGGGCACCTTGTGTAGTACAGCAGTTTAATTGGGGCTACTTCTTGGCCAAGTTTGTAGTGGTCCACTGTGATTTGCCATGATTCACGATCCTAGTTCTACAGTGTCCTGATTGGTGAATCAAATAGAGGTATGAAAGGTTCTATTACTCATATATATTAAATATGCAAGGATAGCACTCATCTTTGCCATTCCCAAGAAAATAATATCCTTCTTAACTACCCTGACTGGATTGGCATATTTTCAGGCACTCCCACCATATTTTGCTACTTTGATAGCTTCTCTGTTGTGCAGATTTTCAGGCATGAAGATGCCAACTGAAACCTCTCTTTTCTACTGCAACAGATCTCAATCTACAAGTGAAGGTTCTTTCAAATAAGTTTATGTCCTCTCGTATCACACACTGAGGAACCAGGAACATGAACACTAAGTGGGTTCATACACCCCAGTTAAAACTCTACTTACCTGACTCCCATATGGTTCTGTGATGAGGAGAAATGAGTCGTGGGTATTCTTTCTTTTTTTTTTTTTTACGGAACCGGGGATTGAACTCAGGCCGTTGCACTTGCCAGAGAAGCACTTATTCCACTGAGCCATCTCTCCGGCCCCTTTGTTTCTAATGTAGAATGACTTCAGTGAATAGCCATGAGTCGCTTTAAAATAGGGAAGTTGTTCTACGCGTTTTATCTATCCATAACATGGTATGATCCTTCCTCAAAAAGATAAATTCACCTTTAATCAATGGGTTGGTTTTTTTTTTAATTTAGTACAGCATCTACAGGGTCTCACTATGCAGATCCAACTCGGAGTGATGTCTCAATCGCCACCTCAGCGCACTCTGAGGACTGGACCAGCACAGCACACCGGGGACCCAACTTGGCCACTGAGTTCTGTCCAAGCAGGCACTAATCAATTGCTCTTATGTTATAAATACTGAATTGTGATTTGGGGTGGTTGACGTCAGGGATGGTTGGCATCAGACTTCTGTTCATTCATTCTTCTGATTAAGTATATTAAATGAATCTCTCATTAGACATTTCTATATATCCCTAAATTCCGCCTCTGAGCTATCCATTCAAGCACTGCTACCTATCACAGTAACTACATCTACTTTGCTACTGATAGTTACACTCTGCTACCTACATTCTGCTATTCTAGTTTTTATTTATTGTATTGAATTTTTTTTCTTTTTTTCTTTTTTTCTTTTTTTTTTTTTTTTTTTGCAGAACTGGGGATTGAACTCAGGTCCTTGCGTGTGCCAGGGAAGTATTTATTCTACTGAGCCACCTCCCCAGCCCCCATTCTGCTATTCTGGAATCTATCATTCTTTGCCACTCAGAAGCCCAGCTGTTTTTTCTTTTTTTGTTTTTTAATACCAAGAATTGAACTCAGGGACCTTATGCTTACCATATGTAGTCACATAGGCCACTAAGCTATCTCCCCAGCCCCGTTGTTTAAGAGCATCTATTACCACCAGTCTAGCAAATGAGAATAAGGTTTATAATTATGCTTATGCTCCTGTCCCTACCTATGCAGTTCTCACTGTCTTGGTACAGTGTTCTCCAGACCCTCCTAAGAAACATAGTGGATGGCACCTTGTTTGGTCCTACATAGTAATTTCAACCCAATTTCTCTACTTATGAACTTGTTGATCCTGTTGCCCAGCCTGCTACAGCAGTTGTGGCATCTCTACATTATTTAATATGGGCCTTGTCCTTCCTAAACCTTGGTGGGGGTCAAGGGGAGCAGTCTTATTATCATCCCAGGCTGGTTCAGACCTCCAGGGCTCCTACCATTGCCTCAATCTCCTGAGGAGCTCAGATCTTACATAGGCATGGGCCACTATGCCTGGGTTTCCTAACTTTTCAAGAATCATCCTAAATTTATTAATCTTATTTCCCACTTCTCATGTTATTAAATTGTTACATACACAGCACCCTCGTGTTGTCTAGCTTTCCAACTCTAAGTAAGTTCCCAAGCAGTGCTCTCAGGATCTCCTCTCAGGTCACCAGCCCTGCCAGTGCATTCTAACCAAGACCTGCAATTCCTTTGCTATAGAATCACTATCCTGCCTTAGCAGGCATAGCACTTGCAGTCAGATTATGGTGAGACCTGATCCTGCTGTGTCTGGTAGACAAGTACAAAGACCGGAGCAGGTTCAGAGGGTCAGCATTATCTTCTTCATCATTTGCTTCACTCAAGGCATCTACACTGTTTCAGTTTAACTGAAAGCTTCTATTTTTCCATCAAGGGGCTACTTATACAGGATGAAGTCAAGAGAATCAAAGGATTCAAAAATGCTCAAGCAGCTGGGTATGGGGGCCTGTAATCCCAGCACTCAGGAGGCAGAGGCAGGAAGATTTCTGCAAACTCAAGGCCAGCCTGGGCCACACAGTGAACTCAAGGCCAGACTGAATTACACAGCAAGATCCTGTCTCCAAAAAAAATGTGCTCAAGTATAGTTATTCATGTAGCCCTGTCTTTGCACCTTTTCCCTGCCAGAGTCCTGACTCTGACTAGTGCCACCCTGGTTGTGAATTTGGGCTTTTGTGAAGTTCAGTCATTGTCAGATTTAAACCTTAAATCTGAACCCTAGTTCTGTGATTATGCCCGTAGATAAGGGTCTTTCTACGTTTCATTAATTTGGTGGCCACTCACCCTGTCATTTTCTATCTTGGAAGAGTCAGCAGCTTTCAGCAGAAACACTAATCCTGTAGTCCTTATAAAATATTCCTGATTGCCCCAAACCTTATATAAATCAGTTCATTTTTCCTCTCGTATCCCATCCCAGGTCACAAGTCAGTGTGGCAAGGACCGCGCAGGTACCATATGATCAGAATAGCAACAGTCCACTCCCCACCAGTGATGGGGTCCTCATGGCCTGATGGTGACAACTCCACAAGACACTCAGTCAACTCCTAAGGACCAAGCATCGCACCGAATATCTTAATGTGAGATTCTACAGAGTAGAACCTAAAAAAGGGACTCAGAGCCACAGAGGTTTGCTGAGTGTGCTTCTCAAGAAAAGCCTTGGAGGGAGGGAACAAATAAGAACAAGGAAGGGAAAGCCAAGGTAATAAAAAGATAAGATGAAATCTATCTTTGGCCTGATCCCAAGGGTTCTAGGACACAAATTGCCCCAGTTGTCCTCCTCGGTGTAAATAAATCAACTTTTTTCTATCCTTGTCAATCACGTCAACATCACTGGATGGGGACACAGAGGGGAAAATTCCTGGATCGAGGCAGCTCCCATCTTCTAAGAGCAGTCCCCAAGTTACTAAAGAAAGACTTCTATGTGCACCTCAAAAACAAAACACAGGGGCTGGTGAGATGGCTCAGTGGTCTAAAGCACCTACTTGGAACAAGCTTAGCAAAGCACAGGGACTGCGGTTCAATCCCCCAGCACCACATGCCAGCCAGCCCCGCCCCCTGGTGGGCTGAGCTGGCCACACACACACACACACACACACACATAAAATTAAAAAAAAAAAAAAAAACAAAGAGCAGCTGGGGGGTGAGTATACCAGCTCAGTAAAGGAATCTGAAGTAGGCAACACCATGAGCCACACAATCAACACTTTATGGGAACCAAAAAAAAGATGCAGGACTTCAGCAGCACTCCTGAATGCTCTCACTCTCTGTAGCAAACACACTTAGTCAATGCTCTTATCCATGTTATCTTTCCCCTGCAAAATCCCTACCAAGATCTTCTCAAATGGCAGGTAGTACTGGACCACATCTATAGCAGCTCCTTGCTAGTTTTCCAACTCCACCTGAGACATAAACTGATACTCTACAACCAATAGACTACAAAGGAAGTCTATGCTCAAGATACTTGGGTGGACATACTGCTTATACTGAGATCTCTAGCCAGGAGTGGTAGCATACATCTGTACTCCCCGCACTCGGGAGGCTGAAGTAGGAGGTCTGCCACAAATTCAAGGCCATCCTGGGCTCCATAGTGAGTTCAAAGCCAGCCTGAACTACATAGCAAGACCCTGTCTCAACAAATTAATGAATGAAAGTCTCTAATTCAAGCAAGGTATGGTGGCACACACCTATAATTACAAAAGTCTGGTAACCCGAGGCAGGACTGCAAATCCAGCCTACCCTGGTTAACTCAGCAAGACCCAATCTCAAATGATGATGATGATGATGATGATGATGATGATGATAATGATGATGATGATGATGATGATGATAAGAGTTTAGCTCAGTGGTAAAGCCCTGGCTTCAATCCTTAGTACCATACACACACACACACACACACACACACACACACACACACAAATTCTAATGCAACATGGTCAAATTTACTCTGTGAATTTGTGTATACTATAAAATAAACCAGCCTCCAGGGTTTGCCTTTCTTCTGTCTCCCTAAGGTCTTTCTCAAATATCTGAACATGGCTTGACTAAGGGTATAGTTTCTCAGGAATTTATAAACTTAACTTTTCTTCTTAGATAACCCTGTCATTCATACAATCAAAATGAAAGGTACAGTATTTTGTAAGTAATATGTTCATTGAATAAGGCAGTATAAACACATCTTATCCAGGTTCAGAAACACATCTGAACCTCCATTTTGCCAAAATATAGACACTTAAGTCAATTTCTTTTCAAAGGCTTTAATACTCAAGATGGGAACAATGACTGGAGTATTGTAGTGGTTGGCATAATTGTTTCTCGAAAGCATTCATTGCTTAAGTACCAAGACAGATATCATGCTGAAGAGTTCTTTCACTGCACTCTCCCCTGAATCAATATGCTGTCAAACAAGGCAGACACTAAAAATAAAGCTTATTTGTACTGCATTCATGAGCCTTTTCCCATTGTCAGTTTTCTGGGATTCTAATAAGTGAGTGTCATCTGAAGGCTTTCATTCATCTGCCATATCCAGGGGTTCTCTTTTCATCTAGATTTCTAAGCATACAGATACTACCCAAAGCACACTTCTCAAAAGGTAAAGCACACTGGTATTACTGTGGATGCTCCAGTGTTCCTGTAGGCTGAGATCTAATTGAAAGAATTCAATACACCTGTAGGTTTTGATGGTCAGGATGGAAAAACGCCTGATATTGTTATTACACTCATTATACAAATAAGGTCTCTCTTTAGGAAGGCTTCTCTAATATTGGGCGGTTTCTCAATAGAAACATCTATACGCATACGGAGTTTATGGGATCTGTCCTCTCATGGCTTCTCAGATGCTTAAAGAGGCTACAACTCCAGCTGAAACTCATTCCACATTCTTTACATTGAAAAGGTTTCTCACCAGTATGGATTCTCTGATGTTGATTAAGATGTGACTTCAGAGTGAAGCCTCTTCCACATTCATTACACTGGTGTGGTTTTGTACTAGGGTAGGTTTTTTGATGTTGTTTTATGTGGGAACATGGGCCAATATTTCCTCTACAAATGTCACATTTATGGGTTTTCTCTGCAGTGTGAGTTCTATAATGTTGAATAAGGTCTGAACTATAATTAAAGGCTTTTCCGCATATATCACATTTATAAGGCTGCTCTTGTAACTCAATCTTTTTGTCTTCAATAACAGTCAAGTTCCAACTGTACGCTTCTTCACAAATGCCATTTTTCTCATTTTTCTGACCTACATGTAGCACCTGATGTTCTATTAGGCTGACATACTGAAAAAAGATTTCTCCACATTCATGGCACTGATGGGACTTCTCACGGGAGTGGAGCCGCAGATGTCCAGCAAGGTGGGAACGCCTCCCAAAGCCTTTCCCACATTCGTTACACTTAAAGGGTCTCTCCCCACTGTGCACACTCTGATGCTGAACGAGGTGGGACCTCACTCTAAATGCTTTCCCACATAAATGACACGTGTAGGGTTTCTCACCCGTGTGAACTCGCTGATGCTGAGTGAGGTGCACGCGTTGGTTATAGCTCTTCCCACACTCATCACACCGAAATGGCTTCTCCCCAGTGTGAATTCGCTGATGTTGAATAAGATGTGCACTCTGAATAAAGCTCTTTCCACATTCATTACATTTATGCGGCCTCTCTCCTGTGGAGGGTTTTTTGTGGATGTAAGTGACTTCGTTGCAACCCATCCTCTTTGAGGAGGACTGTCCCAGGATCTCCTTCACAGGAATCCCCTGCTTTCTTTCAGGCTTGCCTTGGGGTTCATAGTCTTCTCCAAAAGCTTGAACTTCAAGAGCATTTCTTTGGACTTTTCTTGATACTTCCACATCTGCTTCTGAAAATTCTGAAATCTTGTTCTTAACATTCAGTTCTGTAGTCCTACTTCTTTTGTCGCTGCCTAAAGAACAAAAATGCAAACATCATCAGTTATTTTACAGAAGAAAAAAGTCAGCATGAGAGAAGAGAATAACTAAATGAAACTATAACAGATGTAACAAAAGGGGATAGGTATTTTGATACCAAAAGAAATAAAAAGGAGAAAAAAAATTTGTATTTGTCCAATGAAAAGACAAAAACAAAGAGATTTACTTAATGGGTAGTAAGAATGATTGAGGTTAGGCAATAACCTAGGTGAGGTTAGGGCAAGATAAGGCAAAAATTGTCAGGATATGGAAGGAGTAAGAGGAATTCTGAAAGAGGAGGGAAGACAGGAATGAGGAGAGATTTAGTGCCCCAAAAGGAGGAGTTAGAAACACTGAATCAGGCAGAACAGAAACATAATTGGGGCCGGCCAGAGAGCTCAGCGGATTAAAGCACCTGCTTAGGCAGATGCAGGGACCAGGGTTTGATTCCTGCCCCCAGGGTGAGCTATGATGATTGAGACTGGGCATGGTGGCGCACGCCTGTAATCCCAGCACTTGGAACACTGAGGTATGAGTATTACTGTGAGCTCAAGGCCAGTCTAGGTTACATAGTAGTGAGACGAAGGCCAGCCTGAACTGCATAGTGAGACCTGTCTCAAAAAGCAAAACAAAATAAAACCAAAAGAAAGAGGAACATGTGCACCACCACATCAGGCATGCTTCACTCATCTTTCTGCCCCCCCCCCCCCCCCAGACCACAGCTCCATGAGAACTCCAAGGGAATCCGTTCTATTCCCTGCCAGGTTCTGAGCACCTACTGCTACAGGCCCTCCTTCTTGGGTCCAAAAGAGAAAAAGGAGGCTGAGAATAATGCCTGGGGAATAAGAGGACAACTGCAAGTAGGATGCGAAAGATACTTAAGAAGCAGTTGCTTTTCAAGTCCAGAGAGCTCTCAAATGGTCTTCCTAAATGAGACAGTCATCAAGGACAATGAGATAAAACTGGCTAAGGAGACGGCTCAGTTCAACACAAAACTCTAAAGACATTACAAACTTTCTACCTGTCTACCCCATGAAGGAAGACACAGCAGTGGCTGTTAATGTGAATCACAGGTAGCTGAGCTTGAGGACATCAAAAGCATAGATTTAAAAATTAGAAGATAAAACTGCTCACCAGGTGTGGTGGTGCACACCTCCAATCTCAGCAGCATGAGAGGCAGAGGTAAGAGGATTCCAAGTTTGAGCCCAGCCTAATGACCTGGCAAGACTGTTTGAAAGAGCGAGGAGTGTAGGGGCCTGCCCCTTAGCTCAGTTCTTTAAGTGGCTGCTTCAACAAAGCAGGCAGGCTCAGATTGCTGTGGTTTGATCTCCACAACTCAAGCCAGCCAAACCTGCCCTGAAGGCATTCTGAGACAGGGTCCCCCCCCCCAAAAAAAAAAAAGAGCGAGGAGTGTGCTGGGCCTGCTCAGTGTGAAAAACCTAGGTTCAATCCCCAGTATTATAAATTAATAAAATTTAATCAAAAACTGGCCAGTCTTAGAAAGTGAACTGAAGAATACTAATAAAGGCCTTAAAGTTTACAGTACAGTTTACGGTGATCTCATCCATATTTTTTTTTCTTTCTTTTTTTTTTTGTATTTTAGGGAACGGTTTACAGGGTGTTCAGGGTCTCACTACTAGATCAGACTCACAGTGATCCATCTGTTTACAGCCTCCCAAGAGCTAGGATTACAGGCGTGCGCCACCACGCCTAGTCTTTTTTTTTTTTTTTTTGCGGTACTGGGGCTTGAACTCAGGCCCTTGCACTTGCCAGGCAGGCGCTTATTCTACTGAGCTATCTCCCCAGCCCGAAGCCCAGTCTTGACTGCCATCTCAGTGAGCCCCGGAGGCGGGGCCAGCACTGTAGGCCTGGGGATGGAACACACCAGCCCCTGCACCTGCTTGCAGGGGCTTTAATCTGCTGAGCAATTTGGGCGGCTGTTCATCCATATTTAATGTCACTTGAAAAGATGGGTTTTTTTGTACCAGAGATTGAACTCAGGACTTTGTGTTTGCCAGGCAGGTGCTTCTGCCACTGAGCTATCTCCGCAGCTGAAAAGATTCTTACAAAGTAAATAAACAGGAACAAAAAAAGGGGGATATAAATAAAGGACCGTGTGTGTGTGTGTGTGTGTGTGTGTGTGTGTGTGAAAAATATATATATCCATTTGTTACAAAGGAAGAACTTTGTAACAAATGGATCTGCATGCCTGTAGGAAAAAGATAGTTAGGATAGATATACAGCTACTTTCTCAGTTCATTAAGAAGAAAGGTTTGTACTAATATTGTTTAGATAGTTGGTCCAACGGTTGTCGGTTATTGTTAAACTAGTATTGTTTAGACAAAACATCATGTCTGCATTTTGTCCTCTGAATAACTACTAGGAAGACAACAACAGGCAATGTATTAATTATTGTAATTGTCATATTAATCTGTTTTGAAACTTTCATTGTTATTTTATTTTTTCTCATTAAAATGAAAAAAACTGTGTGTGTGTGTGTGTGTGTGTGTGTGTGTGGCCAGCTCAGCCCACCAGGGGGCGGGGCTGGCTGGCATGTGGTGCTGGGGGATTGAACCGCAGTCCCTGTGCTTTAGCTAACCTTGTTCTAAGTAGGTGCTTTAGACCACTGAGCCATCTCACCAGCCCCAAAAAAAATTTTTAAAAAGTAAATAAAACACAAAATTTTACTCAACCTTATTCATAACCAGTTAATAAAAATGAGCATAAAAACAAATTATCTTCTGCTTGCACAAATCTGTAAAAAATTTTAATAACCCTAGCAATTTTTTATTAAAATAGATACTTTCAGGGACAGCAAGACAGCTCAGCAGAATAAGCGCCTGTTTAGGCAAACACAGGGACCCAGTTTGATCCCTGGCACCACAGCCTGTGCCAGCCCCACCCCCAGGCACACTGAGCTGGTACACAGTCTGGGATTGGTGGTGCACACCTGTGAAAACAGGAGGGTCACTACAAGTCGGAGCTGTGTAGTGAAACCCTGTACCAAATACATAAAAAATAAATTTTAAAAAAATTTGATACTTTCATATGTAGTGTGTCTTTTTGTTTGTTTGTTTGTTTGTTTGCGGAACTGGGGGTTGAACTCAGGCCCTTGCATTTTCCAGGCAAGCGCTTATTCTACTGAGCTATCTCCCCTGCCCTGTAGTGTGTTTTTTAATTTTTTTTTTTGTACCAGGAATCAAACTCAGCACTTTGCACGTGCCAGACAGGCAGTTGTGCCACTGAGCTATATCCTCAGCCTAGTGCAATTGTTTTAAAAATCAATGTCATAATATGTATCAAGTCATAAAAATATTTATTTTCCACTTACTAAGCCCACCTGGAAATCTATTATAAGCAATAATCACAAATATAGAAAAATGTATAGGGGTAACATGGTTATCAGGAAAATAGATAAAAAATTAAAATTTAACAACAAAAGAACAGTTGAGTAGAGATAAGTAAATTTTTTTTGTTTTTTTGGCGGAACTGGGGATTGAACTCAGGCCCTTGCACTTGCCAGGGAAGCACTTATTCTACTGAGCCATCTCCCCAGCCCCAAGATGAGTGAATTACAATGTAATTTCATGAATGAATGAGGGAAAGGTATCCAAAATAACCAACAGAAGAACTGAGCACTACTGTAAAGTATTATGCCATACTTAACTGTGGGATCAACAATGTGATACAAGTTCATTAAAAAAAGATATAGGAGCCTGGGGAGATAGCTCAGTAAAATAAGTGCTTGTCTGGCAAACACAGCATCCTGAGTTCAATCCCTGGGACTGCAAAAAGAAAAAAAAAAAAAAAAAAAAAAAAAAAAAGATATAGGAGGGCTAGGGATATGGCTCAGCAGTACAGCACCTGCCTGGCAACCTCAAGGTCCTGAGTTCAATTCCCAGTACCCTCCCCCGCAAAAAGATACAGGAAAACACAGTAAGGTTTATTTCTTCTTCTTTCTTCCAAACTTGAAGTATTACCACTATTGTTTTAAAATAAATGAAAAAACCAACATTAACAGAACAGGGAATAAAGAAAGATGGTGGAAGACAAATCCTCTATTACTACAGAAAGCCCTCAGAAAACTTTGCATGGGGGCACAAGCCTGTAATCGTAACACCCTGGGATGCTGAGGCAGGAGGATCTCAAGTTTAAGCGCAGCTAGAACACTTTCGTAATTTGGCCAGACCTATTCTCAAAATAAAGAATAAAATAGGCTGGGAATGTGGCTCTGTTTAAAGGCTCTGGGTTCAATCCCTAGTACTCCCAAAAAAGAATGTCTATAATGTATGAGTCAAGCAATAGCAGTATTAGGTTAAAATATGGAATTACCAAAAAAAAAAAAAAAACAGGCAAGTGAAGAAAGCAAGTAAGGGGGCAGCAGGTCATGAGAGGAAGAGAGGAATAGGATTTTTGCTATTAATCTGACAGTTAAGTATAAAAATAAAATAGACTGTGCCCTTCCTACTATACCCAGTATTGCAACCCATCTGTCCTGTGCCACTAAGCTAATAACACAAAATTTTGCCCTCCTGTAATTCCCAATACAAACCCCTGCCACGTACATCTTTGGGACTTCCCCCGGAAGTGCCGTTTCAGGTGCTCGATGAGGTGCGAGTGGCGGCCGAAGCTCTTCCCGCACTCACTGCACCCGTAGGGCCTCTCCCCGCTGTGGACGCTGTGGTGCTGCACGAGGTGGGAGCTCACCCGGAACGCTTTGCCACACACCTGGCACTTGTAGGGCTTCTCGCCGGTGTGGACTCTCTGGTGCTGCGTGAGGTGCACGCGCTGATTGTAGCTCTTCCCGCATTCACCACATTGAAACGGTTTTTCTCCAGTGTGGATTCGCCGGTGCTGAATAAAGTTGGAGGCTTGAAGAAAAAACTTCCCACAGTCGTTACAGCGGTGCCCTCTCTCCCCATTTGCGCTCTGCTTACGGTTAATGTCGGTGCTAGCGCTGAGATCTCTCTTCTGGGAAGGATTCTGCCTTGGTTTCCCCACAGCGGGGTCTACTGGCCACCTTTGTACCATGCCCTTAAGGTCACTAACGTCGGCAAACTCTGGACTCAGAGAGACATTTCTCTGGGTGCTTCCTGCTGCCACCCACTGTGAGCTGGGTGAACTGGCTTCATTGGAAATCTGCTTTACTCTGAGTTCCACATTATTGTTCTTGGACTCATAATCTGAAAAAAAGAGAAGGAAAATGGGGAAATTAGCTATTCTCTGCATTAGAAGAGATGATAGAGAGGTACAGGATAATTAAGTGGAACCAACGCGTGCTGGGAATGAATGACTTTGTAAAAACGACTTGGAAATGAGGATGCAATAAACACTATGCAGAAAACTATGCAGGGTAGGGAAAGAAAGACTAGCAAGAATGGACCAAAGAACTGAGATTGGACAGCATTCATTCTACTTGATGAAGAAGGTGCCTGGTATTCTCTTGCTCTGTACTTCAAAAGAAGACCTGCTTGTGAACCTATGTACAGTACCAAATAAAATATTAATCCCTCTTTCTTTTCTGTTTTCTTTTCTGTTTTCCTTTCTTTACCTTTTTGTTTTCCAGGAAATCAGACCCAGAAACTTTGCTTGGCAGGTATTCTACCACTAAGAGGGTAGTGAGACCCTGGAGACCCTGTACTAAATAAATAAATAGGTAAATATAAATTTGAAATAAAAAAGAATTTTCAATACATAATAATGGTAATAAAAAATGCTTGCTAAGTGCTCACTCTGAGCCAGGCATTATGCCAACTACTTCACAATTTTATGACACATGCAGTCTCGCAACAACCTGTTGGTGCTATTTCATCCTTTTTTGACGCAGTCCTAAATTATAATTCTTGCGCCCTGAAGACAGTTTTGGTTTTTACTTTATTCCATGGTGCTGGGATTGGACCAGGCTTTATGCATGCAAAGAACACACACTACAACTTACCAACATCCCCAGCCCCGCCTGAAGACAATTTTAATTCACCACATAGCTATTTTTACTGTTTTCCTACACAGCAACAGTGAAAACTAATATGTAAGTAACAGTAAAAACCTACTATATGAGGCAGGCTCAGCATTGTAGGCCCCTCAGCGGAAGGCATTGTCTGCAGGCTCTGAGCAGCATCTCTGCCTTTACCTTCTGGGAGTCTGGAAAGCTCAGATCCGCTTCATCAGTTCATATTCGGGGGCACCAAACCCTAGCATCCAAGCCAGAGGAGGCATTTACCCTTTCACTTACGAGAGAAGTAGAGGTATGAATTACTGATTGAGACTGAGCTATAAATGAGTGCCTTTTCCTTCTTCAAGGATGCTACCTCTGGTTGGGAGATAGCTTGGCAGTCTGAGTGCCTGCCTGGCAAGTGCAAGGACCCTGGTTCGATCCCTGGTACCACATGCCATGCTGGCCCTGTGCTGAGCTGGCCATCAAAACTGGGCATGGTGGCGCACACCTGGAATCCCAGCACTGGGAAGGTGGAGACAGGAGGACCACTAGGAGTCTGAACTGCATAGTGAGACCCTGTACCAAACACATAAATAAATAAATTCAGGCTAATATATGTATACAAATGGGGCCGGGGAGATGGCTCAGTGGTATAAGTGCTTCTCTGGCAAGCACAAGGGCCTGAGTTCAATCCCCGGTTCCGCAAAAAAAAAAAAAAAAAAAAAAAAAAATCTATGTATAAAAATGAATATTCCTCATAAATAAATTTCATGTTTATATTTTGATCACAAAAAAAAAAAACCTACTATAAAACAAGTTTTTCTGGGGAGATAGCTCAGTAGCATAAGTGCCTGCCTGGCAAGCACAAGGTCATGAGTTTGAGCCCAGTACCAAAAAAAAAAAAGGTTTTTTTCTACCCCATTTAACTAAAGATAGTCCCAACAATCACAGTGTAAGGTGTGAACAAAACATACAGTAAATGTTTCAACGCTGGTGCGATGGCTCAGTGGTCTAAAGCACCTACTTAGAACAAGCTTAGCAAAGCACAGGGATCACAGTTCTATCCCCCAGCACCACATGCCAGCCAGCCCTGCCCCCTGGTGGGCTGAGTTGGCCACACACACATACACACAAATAAATAAATACATTTTTAAAAAAAGAACCTTGCCCTGTCTGACTGCCTATAAAAAATTAAAAAAAAAAAAAAAATTATTGGGGCTGAGGAGGTGGCTCAGTAGAATAAGCACTTGCCTGGCAAGTGCAAGGGCCTGAGTTCAATTCCCAGTTCCGCAAAAAAGAAAGAAAAAAGAAAAAAATTATTACACTAAAAGACACAGTCATTAGCTCCCTTCAAAATACTCAAAGATTCCCCTTCACTTTCCTTCACTTCAAACACATTCCATCATTCTTGGCATTGTATAATAAAGTTTCTGTCATTACCAGAACTCAAACTCAAGATCTTGTCCTTGTCAGACAGGCACTATGTCGCTGAGCTATAACCCCGGCCCTGAAGTTTTTAAAACTTAAACATTCATCATAGTTTTCAAGCACCCCTTGTGTCTCTCTTTTGTTACTATCCACCCATGCTCACACATTTTACTCTTACTGGAATTCTCTCCCATTCAACAAGACAAACAAGCATATGCCTTTCTTTTTATAGGAATGAATTTTAAAAAATTAGAGTTCTGGACTGGGGAGATAGCTCAGTGGCATAAGTACTTGCTTGGCAAGTACAAGGTCCTGAGTTCAATCCCTGATACTGAAAAAAATAAAAAATAAAAAAAATTCGAGTTCTACGTATCTCTCCCGATACATTAACAACTGTCCTTTCCTAAGGACAGGGGCTACATACATTGTGATACCAATGAGCTTATAGACTCTTCCTGTCTTTTCCCTTGACTTTTCATAGTGTAGATGACAAGCTTTCTGATGAGATTCTTGGTTTATTTGTCTGCTCAACTGTCCTTGCTCAGTGCAATGCCAGGCTGCAGAGCAATGCGGGGCTGGGGTGGGGGTGAAGGTAGTACAAAAATGCTCAATGAGGATTCAAAATCATGACCTTCAAGTTCACTGGTTCCCTAGCTTATCTAAGTTTGGCTCTTATTCATATTTTCAGAGCTATATAAAAATGTTTCCATCACTATATTTAAAAAATGGACCAATACACATGGTATGCTTAGTTTTTCATGAACTTATATACATAAAGAACACGTCTAGAGATATAGCTCAGTGGCTTAAGCACGTGCCTGGCAAGAGCAAGACCCTGAGTTCAACCCCTGGTATCACAAAAACAAACAAAAATGTCTAGAACTGAGAAGGCTCTATATGATAGCATATACCTATAATCCTAGTACTCTGTGAGGCAGGAGGATCCCAAGTTCAAGCTCAGCATGAGCAACTACAGAAATCAGGAAAGCCCTGTGCCTAAAATTAAAAGGTAGGGGGAAGCAACTTAGTAGGAAGGTCCTGGATTTGATCCCCTGTACCACAAAGCAAACAAACACATTCAGAAGTACAATCAACATCCCTGGTAATAACCACTGCCTTTCTGGCTGTGCTGGCATACACCTGCAAATATAGCATTCAGGATTCTGAGGCAGGAGGATTTCCAGGAGTTCAAGGCCATCTGGGCCATACAGTAAGTTCAAGACCAGCCTGAACTGCGTAGCCAGACTCTACCTCAAGAAATAAACAAAGAGCAAAACAATCTATCCATAAACCCATGTATTCTCAGTGATCAATGCTCTCTCTTCCCCTTCAGAGACAAAGTTCTAGAAAGTTTATCTAGAATACCTTCCTTGGTGCCAGGGAGACAGCACAGTGAAATAAGTGATTGCTTGGCAAGTGCAAGGTCCTGAGTTCAATCCCTAGTACTACAAAATTAAATAAATAAATAAATAAATAAATAAATAAATAGAATGCTTTCCTCAAACCCCTCCACTTTGTAGTTTAAGACACTGTCTCATGTCCCAAATATTCCAGCCATTCCATGTCTCCAAGATACATTTATTTATTTTTTAAGTCTCATTTCCAAATATGGTATTTTAAAAAATTATAACCTTCTAGGATCCTGCTAAAAATCCATAAGCACAACCCAAATGTGGCCTAAGGAGGCACATTTATTGTATGGTCTCAATGTAGAAGAGTAGACAGAAATTGTAAAGATGTTGTAATAAAGATAATGAGAAAAATAATTCCAAAAGAATTCAGAACAGCTGGAAGAGTGACACAGGAAAGGACTTTGCCAAGAACCTCCAATTCTGAAGCCATTAAGTCAAGCCCCAGGTGGTGCCTGAAAACACTGACAATACTAACAGGTTTAAAGCAGCTTTTGGAAATTAAAAGGAAGAGACTAAAGAAAATTGTTCTTTAATATACCTTTCCCCTCCTCACAGACATGGTCTTTGTGGTTAGTCTGGCCTTGAGCTCACAGCAATCCTCCTGCCTCAGCATCCCAGGTGCTGGGATTACAGCTGTGCACCACCACACCTAGCTGAAATATAACATTCTTACTATATAGATAATTCGCTGAGATAAATGAATACCCCTAAGATCCCAACAGATTAATGAACAGAGAGGACATAAGAAGAAATTCTTGAAAATACTAATAGTAACCCAAATGTAAAGTTTAAAACAATGAGTCATCTTTATACTTTTTAAGTAAAAGCCTGTGAGTGAACTAAAACCATGAGATAATTCTGACTGCTACAATGCTTTTCAAAGGAAATCTGGCACTATGTACATATTTCACCTGAAGCCCATCTCTGTGCCTGATATGAAGTGGTTCTTCTACAAGAATGATCAAGAAGCTAAAAGCTATAATCTCCAAAATGTCTGCAATAATGCTGAGCTTTCTATCTCTGCTCTGGGCAGCACATGGGGCCATTAGCTTTCAGGACCATAACTTAGTTAGAGGCAGGGGAACAAAATTAATGAAGTGACACAACAAAATGTAGATACCAAGATGAACACTACACAGTAGCAACCTGTGATCTGAGAACTGTGTTGGAGTGTGCTAACCTAATGCTACTGAGCTGGGCATTGCAGTGCATGCCTACAAACTCAGCACTCCTCAAGGCTGAGGCAGGACGATCACAAATCAAGCCCAGTGCAGGCAACTTAGCAAGAGCCTGTCTCAAGATAAATAAGGGCCGGGGAGATGGCTCGGTGGAATAAGTACTTGCCTGGCAAGCGCAAGGGCCCGAGTTCAATCCCCAATTCCACCAAAAAAATAAAAAATAAAAAGATAAAAAATAAAAAAGGCTTGAGGATATAGCTCAATGTTAAGGTTCTGGGTTCAATCTCTAGTAGCCCTTACACTTACACACATACACACACACACACACACACACACACACTCTAAAAATTACTACTACTGAGACATTGTAGTCACTAGGATAATAAAGACTTAGTGTGATATGAGAAGTTTTCATAAATCAGAATTATTCTGTTAAGAATTATATAATTTGCCAAGGAATACAATAACTACTAGAAATTTCATTAAAAGCCAAATCCATTAGTTTTAAGTACTCTCTTATTTTAATACAGTTAAAAGCATTTGATACAGCCAGGAAGATAGTTCAGTGCAATAAGTGCTTGCTTGGCAAGCACAAGGTCCTGAGTTCAATCCCCGGTACTGGAAAAAAAAAAAAAAAAGAATAGTATAAAAGCATTTGATGGATTAAATAGTCCCCTAAGTATGGCACCATCAGTCTTTAATCATACCTTTAAAAATAATAAGATTATTATTGAAATAATCAGAATAATTTGAATGAGAAAAAAATGGCAAAAACACAACAATTAAAACATATGCTTTTTGGGCTGGTGAGATGGCTCAGTGGTCTAAAGCACCTACTTAGAACAAGCTTAGCAAAGCACAGGGACCGCGGTGCAATCCCCCAGCACCACATGCCAGCCAGCCCCGCCCCCTGGTGGGCTGAGCTGGCCACACACACACACACACACACACATAAATAAAGAATGTAAACTAATTTTAAAAAATACTTAAAAAAAAAAAAACATACGCTATTTTATAGGATGTGTTAGAAATACTCCTTACAAAATACGGAAATAAAAAAAAAAAAAAAAACTGAAATTAAGATGTCCTAATCCATGCAGGTGAAATAATTCTTACCCAGAGAAGTAATATTCCCATACTTCTCCTTCCTGCCATCCCTATAAAGAGACTTCTGGGACTGGTCCAAATGTCCCCATTCCTCCAGGATGAAGGATACAGCCACATCAGCCACATCTTCAAATTTCACCAACTTCTGAAACAGGAGATCTTTGCTAAATTCCCACTCCCCGTGTGCAAATCTGGAGTGAGGGGAAGAACTGGGAGCATTACAGCAGGAATTCAGAGGAAAAGAGAGACTTTGCCTCAAAGAGAAGTGGGAGGCATTGGGCAGAAAGAAAAAAGCTAGACAGGAATGAAGGGACTAACCCAAGATGGGCCTGGTCATTGGTCAGAGAAACGGATCTCCTGATAAAGTTGACAATCAAGGCAGCTACCTATCAAAGAAGGGGTATAGGTCCTCACAGAGGGTAAAGGGGTGCCAGCTCACCTGGGACCCAGCTGAGAGAAGTGAAGCTGTCAGCTCCTGGCTGTCCTTCAGGGGAAGGGGAGGAGCTTGGAGAGCAGGAAGGGCTGAAGGAGGAGAAAAAGAGGTGTGAGTGAGAATACTTCTATCTGGTTCTCCCAGCTATACCACAGGCCTCCTCTGCTCACAGATCTACAATGACCCCTGCCAAGATCCTCTGGTTGTTTCTCAAAACTCTATATTCTGGCCCCATCCAAATTTAGCCTCCTGTTCCTCCATCCTGCCAAAGCCAGACTTGTTGCTTTGGTCAGGCTAATTCCTGCTGGACCATTCTCCTATGAAGTATGCAGTGTTCCACTCTGCCTGCATCAACTCTACTGGCCTCCAAGAACAAACAGGGTCTCACATTTTCCATGAAGCTAAAGCATTCCGTAGAGTGCGTGGCTTCATAGGCTTTAATGTTATCTTAGCACACAGCAGATTCTGACTCAGAAGGCAAAAATGGACCTAAGATTTTGCATTTCTAACAAGCTTGAGCAAGTAAGTGGACACCTGGATGAGCAAGATTCCAGTCCAGCCTCTGCCTTCAAGGAACTTTCATGGCTAGTTTATATTCAGTCAAGAGATACAAGTCTACTCTATTACAGAATAGTCAGATAAAACTCCTCTTGCCTTCAGAACCTCTGATGGATAGCACAGACACATAAGCCTGCTTATAACAGTCTGAAAAAATACTAAATCTGAAGTTCCTGACTTTCCACAGGAACAAGGAAGCAGGAGCTGGAGACTGGAGGGGGAGGCAGGGGAGCAGGACCAGCAGCAAGGCCTCTTCTCCTAGGGTGACTCTAGGCAGTGGGGTGGGGGTGTGGGAAATGGCAGGCTTTCCAGTAGAAGAAAAAGCATGTGTGTCACCTTAGCAGATCCCATCTCTGGAGGCTGGAGACCATCTGCGCCTCCATTGTCATCTCTACAGGCTCTGTCTCAGGTCTGTGTGCCCTGATTTACAGTCTTACCTGGTAGTAAGCTATAACTCAACCGTTTCCTTGCTAGTTTCCTATATACGCAGCCTTCTTCTTTCCCAGAACTTGCTTACTTATGAGGACTAGGAAATCACCAATGACACAAAAAGAGAAGACTGCCTCTTAGAAGAAATGAAGACAAAAGTGAGAAATGGAAGATAAGAACAGAGGGATATGAGCCAGGAATGGCCAAAAGGTCAGAACAGGACTTGAAAGACACACTGAATGTTCCATGTTCATGTGAACAGTCACTTGTTGAAATCAAGAAACTGGCTAAGGGCTGGTCTCTGAACAGACAAGGCAAGAAGCTATCTACAAACAGAAGAAAAGAGGAGCCGTGACGAGGCCAGGTGAGTCCGGGAGCATGAGTGATTGAAGGATGGCCAACAGTACATGGGAAAACGTGGAAAAGCCAAGGTGAGATGGCTCAGAATAGGCCACTGGGTCAGACCGCTTAAGGCAGAACCTTGGCTCTGTTGGTTATTGGCTATGACCTTACTCAAGTTACTCAAACTCTTAGACCTTTCTTTTCTTTTTGTCGGTGGGGAAGGGGAATTGAGCCTAGGGCCTTCACAGTGATCTACATCTCCAGCCCTTTTTGAAAAGGAATCCCTGGTTTTAGTTTGTTTTGTTTTGGAGAGAGGTTCATGCTATGTTGTCCTGGCTAGCTTCAAAGTCCTGGATTCAAGCAATCCTCTTGCCTCAGCCTCTCAAGTAGCCGCAGTTACAGGCATGCACCATTAGTAAGAAATATGTATGTACAACAAAGTCTACTGCACATGATTTAGTTACTGAGCTTCTTTTCTGAATAGTTTTAGATCTGTTTCATTTTGTTCTGGTCTTTGTTTGGTACAGGGTCTCACTACACAGCTCAGACTCATAGTGATCCTCCTGTTTTCAGCCTCCACAGCACTGGAATTACAGGTGTACACCACTACAGCCGCTCTGTGCACCACCACACCTGGTCTTGGTGGCCAGCTCTGCAAGGCCAGGGATGGGGCCAGTGTGGCATGTGTCACCAAGGATCGAACCCATGTCCCTGCGCTTGCCTAAACAGGTGCTTAAGTTTGCTGAGCTGTCTCACCAGCCCTGTTTTGTTCTGCTTTTTGAGACTGGGTCTCACTATGTAGTTTAGGCTGGCCTTGAACTCACTATGTAGTGCAGGCTGGCCTCAAATTTGTGGTGATCCTCCTGTCTCAGCCTCTGAGTGCTGGAATTCCAGACGTGGAATTCCACCACCATGCCCAGTTTAAATATTTTCTAAGATTAATATTATTTTTATTGTTTTTGAAGTCTTCTCAAGAAAAATAAAGGGAAAAATGGAAACAAAGTTTTTGTAAATAAGGAGGGGAAGAGGGCTTAAGGGAAGAGGAGGGGAATGGGAAAAAAAAAACAATCCAGTTGTATCATATACAGGTACAAATTCTCTATGATAAATATGATCATTATGTATACCTAAAATGTACCTTAATATACATTTAGTATACCTAAATGTACTGCGAGATAGCGCACTGGTCTAAAGCACCTGCTTAAAAAAGAAAGAAAGAAAGAAAAAAAGAAAGAAAGAAAGAAAGCAAGCAAGCAAGCAAGCAAGCAAGCAAGCAAGCACCTGCTTAGGCAAGCTTAGGTAAGTCCGCAGGGACCAAGGTTTGATCCCTAGTACCACATACCATGCCAGCCCTGCCCCTAGGGTGGGCTGAGCCAACCCCCCCAACACACACACAAATTTTAAAAAAAAGAAAAGGAAATTTATTTTATAAATAGATACACTGTCCAGCTATAGCTTGGGACCTAAATGATCTTAGTTTCCCTATACCTTGAAATATTTTTCCATTTTATTCTAAAACTTATTTCATTGTTACTAGTCACCATAAATTATTCCCAACAATGTTACAAAAAACTAAAATAATGAGAATGGAAAAACAAAGGAAACATTTAGGATGACAGAACAGTGAAATGAATCTTTCTTTATCCTTCTCAAAAATACTACACATGCTGCCCAAAGTACTGCTTCATTCTCCAATCAGGTAGAAAAGAAGACAGTCAACAATGCTTAGTTTTCCTTCCACAAAGTGAGAATGCACTATTTTTCATTTGCTGCCCAAATTGGCAAAAATTTAATGTGCACAAGAAGACATTTACTAGGCAAATCAGAAGATGACAGAGACAATAATCCCACCCCCTAGTGATAACAATAATGATGACACTGAGTATAAAGAAAATCTCAATATAAGTCCTTAAGGATAACATCCTACATAAATTTTCTCAAACTCAA